GAATTTAATTATAAAAAAAGAATAGCGAAATCTTAATTTAATTATAAAATTGTGTTGGTGGGCCGGCCCTCCAGGCCGAGCATAATTTGTCACCTCTAACTATTAGCATGCAATAGATTTTTATATTTACCCACAAAAAAAAGCTCTTATAGTTGTGTTTAGGTTTTTATATTTATCTACTAATTTTTTTCCTCATTTTAAATTTAAATTCTTTTCTATTAATTATACCTTTTTTATATAATTTTTTTCTCTTTTAATTTATGATTTTTATACGTTTTTTTAAATTTGTTATAGATGTATATTTAAAATATTTATGTTAAATATTTTTTAAAAAAATACTTGTACGAATTTTTTTTTTCTCTTTTTGTATTACCTTTTTAAGTTAAAATTTTAATAAATTTTTTTTTAAAGTATAAATATGTCATTTCTTATTTTTTTTATTTAAATTTAAATTTTAAATTATTTTTTTATCAACTATATTTTTTAAATTAGACATATTTTTGAAAATTTTAATTTTTTTCTCTTTTAATTTATAAGTTTTTATATTTTTTAATATTCGTTATACATATATTTAAAACGTTTATTGTAAAAAATACTTGTGTGGAAATATTTTTCTCTTTTTGTATTACTTTTTAAAGTTAAAATTTTAATTTATTTAAGTATAAATATGTCATTTCTAATTTTTTTCATTTAAATTTCAAATTTAAATTATTTTTTATCAACTATCCATATTTTTTTATGAATTTTAAATAATATTTTGTTTAATCTATAATTTAACATATTAAATTTAATTTTATTATATATATTTTTTCCACTACAGAAACATTAATGCGGAATTCTTTTTCCACCTATCAAGTTAAAAATTCAAATTTAAAAAGTTTGAATTTTGAAATATTAGATATTTTCCCACCCAATAAACATAATAACAAATATTGTTAATAGATTTAACAAATTTCCATACTAAAAGTAGTGGGAAACATGCATAGAAGGTTGTGTATATTCTCCATGAAATGATGAGTTTTCATTTTCAAGTAACATTGATAATGCACCTTTCACCTTCCAACAGAATAATTAAAAACCTTACAATTCCAATATACAAATGATAGTGGGACATTAATTTGATGTCATCCACTAACACTTTAATTTTGAAATTTAATTTACTTAAAACTTAATTTTTAGTTATTTATTTTTTTTCAAAATTGGCAAGCAAGTGAGAACACACAGGAGGTAGAAGATTAAACGTCTGAATGGTTTGAAGGTTATAAGAAAATATCAAATGATTAGTTTTCCATTTTCAAGTAACATTAGTAAATAACCTTCCATCTTCCAATACAACAATTAAAAACTTTACAGTTCCGACGTAAAAATGATAGTGGGTCATTAATTAGATGTCTCCCACTAATTTTTCAATTACGATTTTTGAACACTAAGCTGAAACTGCATGAGAGCTTGACACATCAGTTTTTTTGGTTCTCCTTTTAAGTATATAAAGTATATAATATAATAGATGAAAATTTAATACAGTTGTCTCATGTTAAAAGATGTTAAACCCCTTTTCACACCTATATCAAATTCAAATTTTGAATTTTAAATAAGAAGTAGGATATTAATACACTTGTTTCCCACTAATTAATGCTAAACTCTTTTTGCACTAACTATTTAGTTTAAATATTTTAAATTTCGAATTAAAATAAAATGTTTTTCATTAATCTGTGATTTTAAATTCTATATCTCGTATAAAAGCGTAATTAATGCTGAACTCTTTTCTTTCAGTCTTTTGATTTTTCGATAAATATAGAAAAAACATTAAATGTTTTTTAAAATGAGGGTTAACAATTTTCATGTAGAAAATAGAGGAAATTTAAAAGATGTTAAATTTTTTTCCCACCTATATCAACATCAAATTTCAAAATTTAAAAAAAAAGTGGGATATTAATGCACTTGTCTGCCACTAATTAATGTTGAACTCTTTTCTTTGGGTCTTTTGGTTTTTCGATAAATATAGAAAAAAATATTCAATGTTTTTTAAAATGAGGGTTAACAATTCCCAAGTAGAAAATAATGGGAATTTAATACAGTTGTCTTCCACTAAAAGATGTTAAATTCTTTTCTCACTTATACCAACTTTAAATTTCGAATTTTAAAAAAGATATGGGATATTAATGCACCTGTCTGCCACTATTTAATGCTGAACTCTTTTCGCATTAACTATTTAGTTTAAATATTTTAAATTTTGAATTAAATAAATTATTTTTCATTATTCTGTTTTAAAATTCTATATCTCGTATGATTGTTTTTCATTCTTTTGTTTTAAAATTCTATATCTCATATAATTATTTTTCATTTTTCATCTTATCATTATGAGCATTGGCAACTCCCATTTTTATGAGGATTCCATTCATATTAGCTTTAACAATTTTCCATTTTTATTCATTGAGTAGGCAACTCATTATTAACATAAGCAATTACAAAAATTACACATAGTAAATGACTTATTCCTAATAGGTATATTAATTACTGCTATTTTCATTAATTGTTAAAAAAACTCCTCGTAATATAATTACTTTGTGTTTTGAAAGCGTCTACCGTTACCTTTGAAATTTTCCACGCAATCAGAATTAGAATAAGAATAAGAATTCCTTGAAATTTTCAACTCAATCAAGTTTACAATAGAAATTCCAAACGATATCTCATACGATGCATTACTTGGATCGTATTTTCGGGTTGCATGTGTTTTATTTAATATGTATTAGGTTATTTGCACAATTTAAAAAGTTATTTTCCTTTATTATGAGATGTTTTTGAAATTTCAATAGTTTATTCACATTTAAAGCATATTAATTTTTTGAAATTTTTACCGAAATAAGTTTTGGATATTATTTAATTTCGCTGGAGAAAAAAAAAGGATATATAAAGGAAAATCATTATTTTTTTGGATATAAAAGGATATTAGTAATTATGTCGGTTGAGAAAAAAAATAAAAAATAAAAAATAAAAAATAAAAGGAAAGAATATATAATAATATATCATTTTCGCTAGTATGAAGCCACAATTGTGTGCATATTCAAATAAAAGAAGAAAAAGAAACAAAAAAAGGGAAGTTGCAAAATTGAAAAATCAAAAGAGGGTAACCCACAGATGTGCAATGCTCGTCTCTTTGTTGAGTTACTCAGTTCTGCGTTGTTCCGTGTCTTCTTTTTATTGTGCGGTTGTGTTGTCCTCTACAATGTGCATCTCTTTCTTTGATGAAGAGAAAAGTCATATATTCAATTTCCTCGACTCACTTCCAAGAGAAAAGGACGAAAGTCAATCTGTTTCTCGAGAAAAAAAATGGATCAAACATTCCTATTTTGTGGATGGAACAAAAAGAACAAAGAGATAAGAAAGAATACCTGATGAAAGATTTACCATTGAGGGAATTTTCTTCGAAAGGTTGAGTGTCATTGAAAGAGGTGACTCTGGAAGCATAGAGACCCTCACTGCCGCCGTGGAAGAAGAATGAATTAGCATCGTGAATAAATATCTCTTTTTGGTAGTCGTGGATCGAAACAATTGAAATGATGCAAACATAAATAAATTGAACCCTTCACAGTAAAGCAACACAATCTTCCAAGATGCTAGTCGCTAGCCACCTACAATCAATCTATAACGTGAACCATTAAAGGTAGCTCTTTTAGGACTAACAAAACAACTGGTCAATGAAAATGGATGAAAAAAAGAAGCAAGGAAAGCAAGCCATGCAAAAGAAAATTAAAAATGAGATAGATGCAGTAAATAATGAAGAAGAGGGACCTTGGTTCTCAAAGGGTGTTGCTGGAGCTGTTTCAAGTAATTTTTCAGTCTGATCCCTTCTTTGCTAAAGACCCCAACTTGCTTCCTCTTTGGCTGGAAAGAGGTAACCGACTCTGTAACTAATATTCAAAAAAATGAGAAATAGAATGAGAGTGGATGTAGGGAAAGGAAAGGAAAGAATCAAAGCTTAGAAAGGCGCTAGAAAAAATAAAGATGCCATTTTGGAATTTGGTATTTAAAAGAGTAATTGAGAGAGAGGAGGAACTGAAAAATTTTATTTTAGGTAGTATAATTTCAAATATCATTAATAGACTTTTCATCTTCCAATGCAATTTTTAAAAACCTTTCATCTCCCAATACAACAATTAATGATAGTGGGTCATTAATGATCCATTTTGATTTTCGTTTTTTCATAAAATGTCATTATGACGAATTTTTCTTTTATTTTTATTTTAAATGTTAAAGCAAGTGTGAACACACAGCTGAACACGAATCAGAGCTTGACACGTCAGCTTTTTGGAGAGTTTCTAGTGTGAACACACAGTGTGAACACAAAAGGGGTTTGCTTTGGTTTTCCTTTATATATATAATAACTAGTTGATTACCTGTGCGATGCACGGAGAAAAAAAAATCGGTTTGTTTGTCCCGTAAACGAATTAATAAGAAAATCGGTTTGTTCGTATGACATAAACGTGTAACTTTTAAGGTAGGAACAAAAAAAAGAATATAATAATTTAAACACAGTAAATTCCATGGTTGACAGCAAAATCTCCATTAAAAAAATATAAATGTCATGTTGACAGCAATATAATAAGAAATATGCCCAACCGATACTCACAACAGTTGTAAAATATCGTCCGCCATGCATTATTGGTATTTGCTGCTGTTCGAAATGAATCATAAACAATATATAAACAATATTTGAAAAAGAAAAAATTATTGAAGGGAATAATATAGTTTAGGCAGATGAATAATTCAGAATTACAATGAAAAACCTTTGACTCTGAAAAATGACAAGGGAATAATATACTGATTGTGCCTCGAATACTGAATCTGTATAACAATAAAAAATTAGCAGAAAAATAGGCATAACAACTAAAGGAAATCAACAAAGAAGATTAAAAAATATTTTCTGATAAAAAATTGAGATCTTACCTGATACCAAACAACAATGTTATCTCTTTGTAGAAATAACCAAGTATACTACACTAATCTTTGAAATACTTCCTTGTAGACGATGTTAAAGGTGGTATTTGTAACGCAACCATTTTCATAAGTATCAGCATCTTCAATCCATGTCTGCTCTTTACTCTAGATAGTGCCACATATAATTGTCCATGAGTGAAGACAGACCTAGGAAGATAAATGCCAACATGAGACAGCGACTGTCCTTGACTTTTGTTGATAGTCATCGCAAACGAAACTACCAAGGGGAATTGTCTTCTTTGGAAGTTTACTGGAAATGTATGACCCGATGGGCTGATCGTCATTTTAGGGATTAACACAGTATCTCCTATATTGTTTCCTGTAAGAACAATTGCCTCAACAACATAATTCCCCAACTTTGTAATAAGTAATCTCGTACCGTTGCATAAACCTCTTGATTGATCAATATTTCTCAATAGCATCACCGGTACTTTAACCTTCAAAGTTAATTTATGATCAGGAATTCCTGAACATGAGAATATATTTAAGATATCAGGGGAGATTTCGTCATCCTCAAGAGATGAATTACCGTCTTGTTTCAAAACCTTATCTGAACTCAATAATGTCCTTTCTTCACCTGGAATCACAGCTATTAGGTGCTCGTTTAACATGGCAACATCGGACAATTTAGGATTCAGAAGAGCACGTTCTTTAAAGAAAGTAGGATCTAATATATTATCCATCAGATTCAGGTAAACAAAATCAACAATATCTGAAAGTGGGTCTTCTGAACCTTTGATCAACAATTCATCTGGAATTATTATAATAGATTCTCCATCAACATCATCCCCAAGATCACCATCTCCTATTTTAAGCAGCCACTCAGAAAATTCTTTTATTTCCAACAAATTATTAGTGCTACTTCCAGAATTGAGACGCATGTTCTTGGTCAAAGATAACAGATGACAATGAGACTGTAACACCCCGTATATATCCGGTAATGTTATCATAATATCGTATTAAGCTGCGCTTAATTAAAAATGCGGAATTACTTTTTCTTTTCAATTATAATGCCATTAACATTACCAACTTTCTTAATAATCAATTTATTAAAACATCGCCTGTATGTAATTGCAATAAAACAGCTAACTGAAATACCTCATAACATAGATAATATAATTGTGGCTCTAGTCACGGAACTACAACAATGTAGACCGAACCATCTAACAGTTTATACAACTCCAAACTACAAGTACTAACAGAAAGTGTCATGGACAATCCCCAGCTCACTCAAATAAGGCAACATGCCCAACATCAGTGTCAACAACAACATATCATAAATAGCGGAAAACATAAACAGCATCCAAATCCAGTCATGCTAACATATAAGCAGAAACAACATAATCAGCTAAGCTCCGGCCTCCTGCCGCCTGAGGCATCAGTACCCATACTACCTGATCCTGAAATAAGCATTCCCCAAACGTGGGGTAAGATCTCTAACCTAGAAATCTCAGTAAGTCAGTGAGTCCTCAAGGATCTTCCACCCCAAGCTCACTTACATGTGCAATATAAGTTCAAAAGCAGTTTATCATTTATCATTTCTAAAACAATGCAATGCAGCAGATAATCATGTCATGTGTGTCAATACTAATCTACTGGCCAGAGACAGTGCAGGTATACGTCTATCACCTACACACCGTGCAAGTACCACTTGCATTCACCCCGGTACACCGTCTTGTATGGCGCTACATACTCAGGCTTCCCGTCAAGATGAAACAACACATGCATATTAAAAGCCATTACATGTAAAGTTCAATCAACATATCAAATATCCAAAAGCACGTACACAGCATGCATAAACCATATCCCCATGGGACATGGTGGAACCACAACATGGCTAAACCGAGGACACGAAAGCTTACCTTGCAAGCTAACTCCAAAAGCCAAGAGTCCACAGCTCAAAGTTCAAACACAGCAGATTCACAATCTGTTATGGACCAACAATACATCAACAACATGCACCACAAGCATACAATATTAAGCAACGCCTTCTCATTACGTTTTCAAGTCTTAAAGCTTCTAACAAAGCCACAAGCCCTTAATCCCATGATTCTGGCTTAATCCATTAAATACAGAAGTTCAACTTCATCAAACTAGGGTCCACAAACCCCCAATAGCCTACTGTTCACACAGCACAGCTGCTGTTCTGCGAAATCCCAGAATATCCGGATATCTCACTGTTCATATCCGGATATGCAATATCCGGATATACAGATTCACGTATCCGGATATCCAATATCCGGATATCAGTTCGACAAATATCCGGATATCTCACGACAGAATGCAGTTTCTGCATTTTCGTGAAGATATCCCTTAAAGGTTCCCTTTTTACCGATTTTAAACACCTAATCATGCATTTCTAGATGTGTTAAGCCTCACCCAACAACAAGTTATCATCTTATAACCTTAACATGCATCAAGCTTTCATTTTTAAGCATTAAACTCATGATTAAAGGTTGAAGATCATACCACAAGCTTAAACTCAGCAAGAATGACCCAAAGAGCTCACCAACAACCCTTCCAAGTACTGTCTCTACAGGTACACGAAAATGGACCAACAAGATGAGTCATTTCCTCACCAAGGAAGCTACTTGGAGCTCAAAACCACTAAGAACAAGATGAATCTCCTCCAAACTCTCCAACTCAGAACCAGAACCTCACAATAAACTCAGAAAGATGACTCTTTTCTGCTCACAAGACTCACACTCAGGTATTTCCCATTCACCCAAGGTGTTTTGGTGAGGAAACTAGAGGAAAAGGTGGCAACTTGGTTGAGTTTCCAAGGAAACAAGGCAAAGCATGAAGGAGGCTGGTCAGCAGCTCCAAGGCACCAACTTTCACGTTCAAATGGCTGAGTATCAGCCTAGGTTAGTGTGCAAAAGTTGTATTTATAGCCCAAGCCACTTAAACACACAGTGTTAACTTTAATTGCCACGCTTAGCATTTTAATCCCAAACTTTGTATTATGAAACTACATAATTTTCTAAGATTTATCATATTTTTCTTATAATTTTCTGAGCACTTTTCCGGTACGCGCTTTTCCAAGCCAATACCGATTTCCAGCACCAGTTCTCATTATCTGGACTTGAAACTCGTTTTACAAGTCCTAAATATTATTCTAGTAATTATCATGCACTTACATTAATTTTCCGGGATACTTTTTCGGCACGCATTTATACCGACTAGCAGAATCGGTATTTGCACTTATCTTCCGAAAAGCGACTTTCAGCATTCTTAATCACTTATTACGATTATTAAGCCTCATAAATAATTATTAGGGTCAATTATGGAATCATTTCCTAATTTTGCATAATTAATTAATTAAATACCTTAATTAACGGTGCAGGTTCTTACATTCACCCCACCTTTTTAGGATTTTGACCTCAAAATCATAAACATACCTGGTCGAAACTCGGGGTACTGCCGGAGAAGCTCGTCCTCACGCTCCCAAGTACACTCCTCAGGAGTCCTTCTGGTCCACTGCACCTTGACCATCGGAATGATCTTGCTCCTCAGCTGCTTCTCGCCACGATCGAGAATCTTTAGTGGTCCGACGGGAGTCTTTAAGTTCTCCCGAATTTCCACATCATCCGGTTGCACCACGTGCGAAGGGTCTGCTATGTACCTCCGAAGCTGAGACACGTGAAACACGTCGTGGATGTTGGCCAGGTTCGGAGGCAAGGCAAGCCGGTAGGCAACAGGTCCTACTCTACCAAGAATCTGGTATGGCCCAATAAAGCGCGGGCTCAGCTTCCTCACTCCTAGTGCCCGTCCAACACCGGTGACAGGTGAAAGTCTCACAAACACGTGCTCACCCTCACTGAACTCCAGTGGTCGATGCTTGACATCGTAGTAGTCTTCTGACGATTCTGCGCCTGCTTCAGCTTTTCCCTGATCAATTGGATCTGCAGGGTGGTATCTTGGACAAAGTCCAAGCCAAACAACTCACGATCCCCAACCTCCGACCAGCAGGTAGGTGTACGACACCTCCTACCGTAGAGCGCCTCGTAAGGTGCCATGCCCAGGCTAGCATGAAAACTGTTGTTATACGAAAACTCTACCAATGAAAGGTACCTATCCCATGCCGAGCCCTGCTCCAACGTGCAAGCCCGCAACATGTCCTCCAAGGTCTGGATAGTCCGCTTAGTCTGTCCATCAGTCTGAGGGTGATAGGCAGTACTCAATCTCAACTGCGTACCAAAAGCTCCCTGCAGCGCCTCCCAGAACCGAGATGTGAATTTCGGGTCCCTATCACTGATGATACTCACGGGCACCCCGGGAAGCCTCACAATATCGCGAACATACAATCTGGCCAACTGCTCTGTAGTGAAGCTCACCTTCACTGGAAGAAAATGGGCGGACTTCGTCAGTCTGTCCACAATGACCCATATCGAGTCACAGCCAACCTAAGTCTTCGGCAAACCCACAACGAAGTCCATGGAAATGCTCTCCCATTTCCACTCCGGAATCTCAAGAGGTTGAAGTTTACCAGACGGCTTCTGGTGTTCAATCTTCACTTTCTGGCAAACCAAACACTTGGACACAAAGATAGAAACATCTTTCTTCATGCCCGGCCACCAGAAGTTCTTCTTCAAGTCTTGATACATCTTAGTAGCACCAGGGTGGATAAAAAACTGACCCTTATGGCCTTCTGCCATAACCTCTTCTGTCAACGGACCTCGAGGAACCACAATCCTCCGCTGGAACAAAAGCAATCCATCATCATTCCAGGACACACCGTCTTGGTTCTTCACATAATCCAGACACTCTCTCTGAACTTGTGCCTCTTTAATCTTTTCTAGCAGCTCGTTCACAACATCAGATGCTTCCAACCCGAGAAGTACGCTCGCACACGGAGCGGTCACTGCCAAGTGGCGGAACTTCTCAACCACATCGCAGTTACCAAGTAGCAAACTGGATGAACTACTGGATTTCCGACTCAAAGCATCGGCTACCACATTGGCCTTGCCAGGATGATACCTAAGCTCAAAGTCGTAGTCCTTTATGAACTCCATCCATCTCCTCTGCCTCATGTTCAACTCCTTCTGGTCGAACAGGTACTTCAAACTCTTGTGGTCACTGAACACCACAAACCTCAAACCAAAAAGATAATGCCTCCAAATCTTGAAAGCAAACACAATCGCAGCCAACTCCAAATCATGAGTCGGGTAGTTCTCCTCATGAGGCTTCAACTACCTCGAAGCAAAAGCAACAGCTCTACCAGACTGCATCAGCACACAGCCCAGCCCCTTTCCAGAAGCATCACAGTAAAGCTCAAACTGCTCCTCAGGATCAGGAAGGATCAACACAGGTGAAGAAGTCAATCTCTCCTTCAACTCCTGGAAGCACGCCTCACACTCGTGAGTCCACACAAATGGAGTCTCCTTTCGGGTAAGGCGAGTCAAAGGGAGAACCATCGTGGAAAAACCCTTGATGAACCTCTGATAGTAACCGGCCAAACCTAAGAAGCTCCTCACCTCCGTAGCTGTCTTGGGCCTCTCCCAATCCAACACGGCCTCAATCTTGTTGGGATCCACTGCAACTCCATCTGTTGAAATCACATGCCCCATAAACTTGACTGATTTGAGCCAAAACTCACACTTGGAAGGTTTAGCATAAAGCTTTTTCTCCATCAGCACTTGCAGAACTATCCTCAGATGCCCCGCATGCTCCTCCTCAGTCTTGGAGTAGTCAAAATATCATCAATAAAGACAATCACAAACTGATCCAGATACGGCTGGAAAATCCTGTTCATGTAATCCATGAACACTGCCGGCGCATTTGTGAGTCCAAACGGAATCACTAAATACTCAAAATGATCGTATCTCGAACGGAAATGCGGTCTTCGGGACATCCTCCGGCTTCACCCGAATCTGATGGT